TTAGGTATATACTGAATGAGGATGGATAGCTTAAAGAAAGAGGGAAAAAAGATAAAAAGAGATTTGACAGGACTGAAAGAGAAGGGGAGGTTGTTGTTCAGTCATGTCCAACCCTTCCTGATCCCATTTTTTGTTTGTTTGTTTTTGTTTTTGCAAAGATACTGGAGTGGTTTGCCATTCCTTCTCCAGCTCATTTTACAGATAGGGAAACAGACAAACAGAGTTAAGTGACTTACCTAGGGCCACAGAGCTAGTAAGTGTCTGAGGCCAGATTTAAATTCAACAACTCCAGCCCCTGTGCTCTATCCACTGGGCCATCTAGCTGTCATGATGAAATTATCAGACACTTAATTGTATTCTAGGACTCTAGGTCTGGTGTTCTATCCAATGGATAGCCTAGCTGCCCCCAAAGTGAGAGAGGAGAAGAGTAAATTAGATTGTCTCAACAACACAACCTAAAAATATCTGGTACTTGATTTCATTCTTTTTTTCTTACAAAGTTTGAAGTTAAGGGTAGGAAAGAGAACTGTTCATAGCAGCATATAATGGAGAGAAAATTCAATCAAAACTATAATGTATATAGATTAAACTATCACGAAAAGGGAAGTGGCATGCATTAGAAAGCAAAACTCAACAACTTGTTCATAAGAATTATACTTCATAAAAATACATACAGAGAGCAGCTAGGTGGTGCAGTGGATAGAGCACCAACCCTGAAGTCAGGAGGACCTGAGTTCAAATTCAGCCTCAGATCAAACACTTGACACTAGCTTCGTGACCCTGGGCAAGTCACTTAACCCCAATTCTCCCCCTTCCAAAAAAAGGGAAAAAATGCATACAAAGTTAAAATAAGAGTTTTGTAGAATCCATTATCTCTCAGCAGAATCCAAAAAAATCTGGAGTAACAGTCTTGATCTCAGAGAAGACAACAGTAAAAAGGGAGAAAGGTTAAGGTAGCCAAATAGGGAAACAATATTATGTTTAAAGGCCCCATAAATAATGAAGCAGCATTACCTCTCTCTTCTCTTTTCTCTCTTCTCTCTCTTTCTTCTCCCTTTCTCCTTCCATCCTTTCTTATATCTCTTCATGTACATATGCATATATAGATATGTGATAAGATAATAATTATAGGAAATTTCAATATCTTACAGACTCATGGAAATACAACAGAAAAATAAGAAATTAACAATTTAAGCAGAATATTAGAAAAATTAAATATAATAAATGTGTGGTGATTGAATAGCACTCTTAAATAGTGTATCTGTTTTTCAGCATTGCATGGAACCTATACAAAAATGACAGTGGGCTAGGGTGTACATAAATGCTAAAAGGCAGAAATAATAGCTATATCCCTATAGGCCGTAATGTGTTAAACATTGAAATAAATAGTGGAAGTGTGAACAAAGGATTCAGACGTAAATGGAATTTAAGTAATATTATCCTAAAGAATAAGTATGTCAAAGAACAAATAAGAATAATAAATTATTATGTTGAAGAAAATGATGATAGCATAACCAACTGCATGGCTTACAGCATTTCTTAGGTGAAAGTTAATGTCCTTAAAGACCTTTATTAATACATTCAAGAAAAAGGCCATTGAATTGTATGCACCAAGAAATATAGAAAATCAACAAATTACTAATCCCCAAACAAACACACATACAAAAATATAAAATATGGAAATCAAATAAGATATGAACAAAACTGACAAAAACAAAAAAGATACCTTAGAAAGAACAACCTATCTCAAAAGTGGGTGTAGAATCTTAGTTCTGTACTAGGCAGAACCTTCCAACAGGCATTGTTGCCTTCTGTGGCTCTTCTTTGAGTTTGGTACTTTGAGGCATAGCCGAGTCCTTTGGTAGGACAAATGGTTCTCTTTGCTACTAGTCCTGCCTGCTGCAGGAGTCAGGACATCCTGAATACTTCTGTCTGTCAAGAGAAAAAGGCTCTGCTGCCATGCTGGCTCTATTACTCTGGCATTACTTGAGACATCTCAATGGAGCTGTTGTCGTTTGTTTCCACTCCTGCCTCACAATATACCCGTTCCAAGAGTCCCTCAGATACTTAGCATACTCCTTGATTAAGTGATCACTCTTCACTTGTTTTAAAAGCTGGTAAAGAGCCTAAATTTGTCCTGAGTTCTCTCTTAAGACCCAAAGAATTTCATGGAGAAATTGGGTGAGGTGGATCTAATCAATCTGATTTATTTTGTGCTACAGATAAAATGAGGTAACATATGAAAGGATCTTTACAAACCTTAAAGCTCTACATAAATGCTACATTATTATTATTATTATTATTATTATTATTATTATTATTATTATTACACATAAGTTGCTGAAGATGAGAGGAAAAACAAGCTATGACTATGTGTAAGAGAGGTGGGATTGCCTAAAATAGGCTTTCATTCTATAAAATCTGTGACATTAGGAGAATATTTATTTAGTTTAATTCCTAGTATAGTATCATGCCACAATTTCAGTTCACCACTATTTTTCTGTACAGTCATCCCAAAGCCATTTCCCATCAATTATTTCTTTATAATCTCTAGAATATATCTATTCATGTAACCTTACTCTAAGCCTCATCCTTCATATCCATCTCAGTTTGGAAAACATCTTATAAGAAGCTATACCCTATTCACCTTATTAGTAGTTTACTATGAATTATGTTTTGCCCAATTTTTCTTTGCTTTTTAAATAATTACACAACAATGGAAAAATAGAACTTCTTTAGCAAATGTAATAACTTTTCTCCCCTTCTGTTTGATTCTACCTGTCTTAGAGATGGAACTATTGGACAGAAATGCTTTGGTTATTCATTGTTCATGCTTGGCCTTTTCTGTCTCTATTGACATAGGGCTAGTTTTCCCGGAACTACATTGTATTACGAGTACCACTGATTTTAATTTATAATATTATCCTTCTTGGCAGAATAGAATTGAAGGGTAGAACTAAATAAAGACTTCCTCTTTAATTTAAGAAAGAGGATTAGAAGGCTGAGTAAATTGGGCATAATTATTTTTGTTAGGGTTCTGTGTGCTCTCTATTATTTCCTAATTCTTCAGCTTCCATTTATAAAATTGCTTACTTGAGTTTTAAGTGTTAGGATGAGAGTGACACTTAAAAACTCTTCCTTCATCATAAAGGTTGGAAATTATGTGCCACTATCAGAAAATGCATGCAAAAGGAGATATTGATATTTTGAATTATCACTTTATCAAAGCAAATTTGAATTCGAGTTTTGCTTAACTCCCATTTTTTAACTTTTATTTGGAATTACTCTTTTCCTATGAGATGAATAACATCTCTTCTTAAGTATGCTCCTAGTGTTAAATGTTTTATTTTAGAGAGTATGAATAAATAAGCTTTTCTAAGAGTAATGATGGGGATGGGATCTGAACCTCTAAGAGGAAAAGACCATATATCTTTGGGATCTGGACCTCAAAAAAGAAAATCCCTGGACTTTTCCCAAATCTCTGGCATTTGCCTGAGGCTGTAATCCACTCAGCTGGCCTTTCATTGTGGTTATGCCCAATCTCCCAATTTCTGTTCTGTTGCCTCCTGATTTCCCCTGACCACTTGCCACCCTTAACCCTATCTAGTCTCTAGTCTTCTTTGGCCACATGGTCCAGGTCCCTGGCATTCTGTTCACCCCACCTTACTGTCCATTCCCATGCAGATCCTCCTTAGAGCTCTCCTCCAGTCACCCCAGACTACTTGGCCACTCCTGGATCCCTCCCACAGTCTTTCTGTATATGAGATTCATGTTGTCTCCATTAAGGGGCTCAGATTCTTAAGATCTGGCCTGCTTACATTAGTGATACAAATGCTTAGATTCCTTAAGAGTCTGGCCAATATGGTGAATGTTCTAATAAACCTTGTCTGAAGGCTTGGGTTGAATTCATTTAGACAGAACCTGTGTGTTGTGATTTTGGGGTCCCAGCACCCCTAAACCTCAACAGTATGATTGCTATAAATTAATAGATGCTCTAAGATGGAATCAACTACATTTAGATAGTAATTTCCTTGGTATAGTTCAGGAAGAATAATTTACTAGCAATTATAATGATTTAGAAGGAATTATATTTTTGTAATGCAAAAGGCATTGTTTGCTATTATGTGTTTTATTTGCATTGATTTTGCTTTTAATTATTATTTTATTAAAATGTAAAACTATGAAATACTTGAGTAATACTAGCACAGGACTAAATCAGTATTGAGAAAGCTTAGTTATATATCCAAAACTTCTTTGTTAATATTGATTCAAAGTTGTTTCTTAAACAGCTAGGTGGCACAATGAACAGACAGGTGCTGGGCCTTGACTAAGCAAGACATGAGTTCAAATGTAGAGTCAGACACTTGCTGGCTGTGTGATCCTGGGTAAGGCTGTGTTTGCCTCAGTATCCTCAACTGTAAAATGGGGATAACAGCACCTAATTCACAGAGTTGTTGTGAGGTTAAAATGAGATTGTATTTGTGAAATGTTTAGTACATTGTCTGGTACAGAGTAGGTGCTTATATAAATGCTTATTCCATTCCACCTTCCCTTCTCCCATATGTTATTATTTTATGTATTTTTTCCTACTCATTTGTTGCTAATTTCAGTAAGATTCTAGTCAAGGTAATTTCAAGGTATCCCATCAAGGAAGTTTTACCTGCATTTGATTTTATAACGTATGAAGTGCTTTACTAGGTTAAATGTTAAGAAATGTTGGTAATTGTAGCTCCTTTTCTTGCTTCATCATGCTTAGCTTATTTTTAGATTTAGAGGTTTAGTGTGTAACTAATGCTTTTATTTTGTACCCTTGCTTCCTATTGGTGGACATAACTTGTTTAGAGTTGGTTCTTTGCAGGTTGGAGAAATGGGGGTGGGGGTGAGGATGATAATTATGAAATAAAGAAAATTCCTTGGTAATAATTGTGATTATTGTTATTAATTACATTCTCTTATAATTAAAATACCCCAATTTTTTTATTTTCTAAATCCTAGGATAAATGCCATTTCCAGGAAGAAAAAAAAATGTTTGATTGCAAGAAATTAAAGAAAACTGAAATAAATGAAGACAACTTGTATGTAGACAAAATATGGTTTCAATGTGAGAATGAGAATTGTTTAAAATGGAGGTTGTTATCCAGTGAAGATGCTGCCCAAGTTGATCGCAATGAGCCATGGTTTTGCTTCATGAACACTGACCCAAACCATAACACATGTTCTGCTTCTGAAGAATGCTTTCCTGAAGAGTCTCATGTTCTTAAACGTGGATTTAAATATGTCTATTCACAATTTCCTATAGGAAGTCTAGTCTTGGTGAAATTGTACAGTTGGCCAAGGTAAGATTGAAATTGGAAAAGTCGTAAATATAGAAAGCACCTAAAATTTAAGGCCTAACCATTAACACCCCCCCCAAAAAAACCCCTTAGACTGTATAAATATGATTGATGAAATAATTTGGAGAATAGGACTAAATATCAACTATAAGTATTTCATGGTGATTTAAAAATATTGCAATGTTAATTCGATTTTTCTAATGATATATTCATCAATTTACTAGGTATATCTTCAAGATTTTAGTAAGATAGTGATAGCCATTAGAAATCTTTGCTGGAGCACTAATAACCTACAGTCTCTTTTTTGTATGGCTTCCTTCCTCCCTCCCTCCCTCCCTCCCTTCTTTCCTTTCTTTTAAAATTTGGGCCCGTGATTGATTTGGGTAATTTTCATTGTGGAATCTCGCTCTACCAATGCAGATGAGTAATGTTCTGCAATTGTATGATGTTACAGAGTTACTTGGGGTACTGGGAGGTTAGGAGACTTGTCCAATGGCCAAACAACCAGTATAGATCAGAGGCAGGACTTGATCTGAGTTCTAACTCCAAGGTTAGCCCTCTTTTTTGCTAGCCCACACTTCTTTTAACTTAGTAAATATTTGTTGATATATTGGAAAATACCAGGAAGAGAAAATTTGTACATTTGGGAATCATCCATGTAATAATGAAAAATTAAATCTGGGGAGCACCTGGAGGGAGAAGAGAGTAGGGGAGGGCCTAGAATAGAGATTTGGGGGACACGTAGTTAGAGTCCAGAACATGGATGATGATCCAACAAAGAGACAGAGAAGGAGTGGGCAAACTGGTAAAAAGAGGACCAGAAAGGAGTGTTGTTACATGAAAATTGAGGGAGGCAAGAAAGGAGGTTAAAGGATGGTTATATGGTTCCAGGAGGAAAGGATGGTTAAAAGTTGCAGAGGTCAGGGATGACAAAGGGCTGAGAAAATATTATAAGATTTAGCAACCAAGGTGATTCATAACCTCGTAGAGAGCAGTTCCAGGGGACTGATGGAATCAGAAACAAGACTTCGATGGGTTGTGAAGCAAGTGAGATGCAAGAAATGGAGACAGTGACTAGAAGTGATATTTTCTAGGAGTCTGACTGTCAAGGGTAGTAAAGAGAGATGATGATTACGGGAATGGCAACTTCAAATGAAGGGGGTTTTTTAATGATGCTTTTAAAGTATTTTTACTTCAGTTCACATGTTTTAGGAATGGTATAAAGATGAAAATACCTCTTTTTATCTAAAATAGTACTACTATGTAACAATTTTTCTCAAGAATGAAAAAACGGGAGACTTAATTGATTAGTGCCTATGTTAATCTATTCTAGGCAGGTAGGTGGTGCAGTGAAGAGAGCTCTAGGCCTGGAGTCAGAAAGAGCTGAGTTCAGATTTGAAGTCAAATACTTACTAGCTGTGTGACCCTGGGAAAGTCAGTTATCCTTTGTCTGCCTCAGTTTCCTCAGCTGCAAAATAGAAATAACAGTAACATCTACTTCTTAGGGTTATTGTGAGGATCAAATGAGATAATGTTTGAAAAGCACTTACTTGAAAAGCACTAATATGCGCCTGGCACATATCGGGTACTTAAAAATGCTTGTTTCCTTCCTTCCTAATCCAAAAATAAAGAATTCTCATAGTAATAAAATTTGATGATAATAACGACTTATATTTACATGTAATCTTTCTCAACATGCCAGAAAAATCACTTTCCTTTGTGTCATAAGATTGAAGGGCAATTTTCCCCTTTTCTGAAACTGGTCAAAGGATAGCATTCATATATTTAAAGATAGGAATTTTTTTTAGAAATACAGGACATTTCTAAATGACAAAGCAAATAAATACTTAAGAAAATTAAAACTAGATAATTTTCCCCTAAGTCAGCACTCTTGGAAACAGTATGTTTAAGCATTTTAAAGTGAAAACGCTATGAATTCAGATGACGTCTGTGGAATATCTTCTGATGTCTCAGTGTAACCTTCCACCGTTAAAAAGCTTTGTAGTTTCTTCTCTAGTTTTGCTACATACACGGTGTCACTTGAAAGTGTGTAACATGGAAACGATCTTCACTTTTATCCAAGTCAAGCAATAGAAGAAGACCTCAGATGAAATGTCAAAAAATGTTGAGCCATTAATCTTTTTTTAAAAGAATAAAGCGGAATATTATGGACATTTTTCTTAAAACAAAAATATTTATAACAGTCTTGCAAACAAAATAAAGAAAATTTACTATACTTAAATGTTTTTGTTTTGTTTTGTTTTACCAAGGGATCTAGCTACTGAAAAAATAGTAAAGCTAAAACAAATATTACTCTTTATTTCATAGGTGATTGGAAAGGAGATTGGTCTTGGAGACTTACTAGTGAAACCTGGTTTTCTCATATGAGTATAATAAAACTTTCACAAACTGTCTAAAATCCTTAATAAATGTGAGCCATTAGATGATATCATGCATGAATACTTGAGTACATAATTTTATATAATTTATTTTTGAATAGTTGTAATGTCACATATTGTATTAAGTCATATATATTTCACATGCACTACTGAAATCTATTTAAAAGAACATGTTGGGAAATACTTTTATAATGTAAATAATTACTCTCCACTTTCAAATTTTTAAAGTACACATTTTTGTATAAGTTATACAGATCTATAGTTAAAATGAAGCACACTCATAAATTCTTCCCTAGGGTCAGTGACCAAGCTGAAATTTTGTTGTCCTGCATAATGTGACAGATTCTTTGAACAATTGCATGTTAGAATATAACCATGCACTTGCCAAATGCCTAATGCAAGGATTTTAAAATAGGATTGATTTTATATTCATTTAGTGATTGCAGGCTATCAAAAAGAAAGAAGAAAGAAAAAGACAAAAAGGAACCTACTTTTGACTTTTCTTTTGATAGTCTGGGTGTTTTATATTCTTGAAGGTATTCTATTTCTTTTGTGTTTTAAATTTTGTTAGTATATAATGGTACACAATATGTTCTGATGATTCTTATCATTTCTTCTGGTTTTGTTCTGATTTCACCTAGCTCATTTGCTATATTATTGATTTGATTTTTTCCCCTCTTCTTTTTAATCATTTTAACTAGAGGCTTATCAATTTTATTAGTCTTTTGAAAGAACCAGCTTTTAGTTTTATTTATAATTTCTATATTTTTCTTGGTTTTTAACTTATCTTTTTTTTTTTTTGATGAGGTAGTTGGGGTTAAATGACTTGCCCAGAGTCATAACAGTTAGTGAATGTTATATGTCTGAGGCCGGATTTGAACTCAGATCCTCCTGATGCCCGGGCTGGTGCTCTATCCACTATACCACCTAGCTGTCTCGTTAGCTTTTTCTCCTCTAATTTTTACTATCTCCTCTTTTTTGCTTATTTTAGGTTTATCTGTTAGTTTTCTGATTTTTAAGTGCATATTCAGCTCATTATTCCTTTTTCTATTTTGTTAATATATTTTTAGAGAGATTTGATTTTTTTCACCTGGGGATTGCTTTAGCTACATCCCAGAAATTTTTTTATGTTATCTCTTCATTATAATTTTCTTTCACATAATTATTGTTTGTATTATTTGTTCTTTGACCTACTCATTATTTAGGATTTCATTGTTAAATTTCCATTTGGCTTGGTCTCTTGTTTGTGGTTCCTGAACCAATAATTATTTTTATTGTTTTATGGTCTATAAAAGAAATATTAAATATTTCTGCCTTTTTACCTTTGCTTGCAACACCTCTGAGCCCCTTGTCAACTGTCATTGTCATTGTCAATTTTTATTAAACTTCCATGTGGTACTGAGAGATAACTGTATTCTTTTGCCATCCTATTTAGAAGGTGCCATAAGTCTTTTAACTCCAATCTCTCCAGCAATTTGTTCAGTTCCATATTTTTCCTTTTGATTCTATTTCTGTTAAACTCAAAACTGAGAGAGGGGTATTGAGGTTTCCTGTCAATATTGTGCTATTGTTTGCATCCTCTTAGTTCGCTTAATGTTTACTTTGTGAATTTGGATGCTAAGGTATTTGGAGTATATAAGTTTATTATTAATGTTGGTCTCTCATCTATGGTTCCTTTCACTCCAATATAGTTTCCTCGTTTATTCCTTTTTATTTTTTTGGTTTTTCATTTTTGCTTTATCAAGCAGCATGATTGCAACTGGGTTGTTTTTTTCTTTGGATTCACTTGTTATGTAGTAAGTTGTGTCCATCTCCTTCAGTTTTATTTTGGGTGGCTTTGTTATTTAAATACATTTCTTCTAAGCAACAGAGTATATTCTTATCTAGTTTGTCACTCTTTTTCATTTTATTGGATTGTTTAATCTGTTCACACTTACAGACATAATAGTAATGTTTATATTTTCCTGTATTTGTCTCTAATATTTTTAAAGTTATAATTTTTCCCTCATGTGTTGTAAACAGAGTGCTATATTCCTTCAGTTATTATTCCCAATGGCTCTCTTCCCCTCATTCCCAAACTCCTTCTCCTATTAACTCCTTTCCCTCTGAGATTTTGTTTATTAATTCCTTTTTATCTGGTTATTTGATCCCTGACTCCCTCATTTTTTTTTCCAGTCAAGTACATTACCTTTTTCTCTTCTTTCATTAAGCTAGTCCTTTTTTTTTGTTTTTAAATTTAAGCTAGGCAATGGGGTTAAGTGACTTGCCCAGGATCACGTAGCTAGTAAGTGTTACGTGTCTGAGGCCGGATTTGAACTCAGGTCCTCCTGACTTCAGGGCCAGTGCTCTATCCACTGTGCCACCTAGCTGCCCCTCATTAAGCTATTCCTGTTCATTAATATTTTAATTTCATTTTTTGTACCCCTTTTCAGATCGAGTTTTCTCACTCTTTTCATTGTTTATTCTCTCCTGTTTACTCTAGAACCTCCTCCTTCTCTGGTTCATGACCACTATAATTTTCTAGTCTCTGTCTATTCATTCTGTTCTTTATGAGATCATAACTTCCAAGGTATCCATTCAGGGCTTTCCCCTGTGTGCAATTTC